TCCTGTTTGGTTTTGTTTTTTGGGGGTTTTTTTGTTTGGGTTTTTTTTTTTGGTTTTTGGTTTTTTTTTTTGCACTGCATGTTAGGTTCATTTAGCCTGCAAGCTTATTCAGTATTTAGCACAACAGTTTACACAAGCGACTGACCATCTTACTAGCAGAGGGATCCCATTGAACTGTCTTTTAGCTTTTTATTCCCCACCTCCAGTTTGCTGCCTGTTGCTGCCCTGGCCTTAGCATGGCACCTTTATTCAGACAAATCTCCAGTTGCCAAGATGATTTTGAGAATTGCTTCCCATACGTTTGCTGCCACACCTACGTGGAGGTGTTTACCATTCACACCCCTCCTTTCCATCTTCAAACGCAATTGGGATTTCTCTTGACTTGTGGCTAAAAATAGTGGCTCATACCTGGGCCATGAAGATTGTTGCAAGAAATATGTTCTAAACAGTTAGTTATGATACACGTAGAATATTGTAACAATTTAGTGCCATTTTTCAATACGCCTGTATTGCTGTTGATCAAAGGGATAACTCTGAAGTGAGATATCTGATGGAAATCATCTGCTTGAGAATGCAAATACTTCTGCTTGTCTGGCAGTCTGCACTATTTTATACACTGACCCTTAACACAGACTTCAGTGAATTTTCCTTTGATAATAAAGGAGAGAAACAATTTAGATCAAAGCTTAGGCTTACATGGTCCTGTGTCATAAAAGGTTTTACAGCCTGCTTAATTCACTGTGGAGGAAAACTCTCCCATTGAGAGAATGGATAGTTCTGTAGAAAGAAACTTTAGTTACAGCTGAAATAGAGGACTTAAATCTGCATTTCAAATCTGATAGTTTAGAAAAAGTAAAGAGTGTCAGTACTATGAAATAATGTGTTTGGTGACTGATGAAGTTCGAGTACATATCAGAAAGATGACTTCAGCACTAATAGAGGTAAGTTTAAATTTAGGGTCTTCACTTTTCTCTCAGTCATGTTCCCGTGTATACAACCTGCAGGTGGTTGTCCGACATAAAAATGCAGCAAAATTGAGAGTCCAAATTTGACAAAACTTAAGTTCAAGATCCAGATTTGTTCCTAGATCCATACTTGAATTTTGTTTCTTCTCAAGAAACTGTAACTGAAGCTCTCAAAATTCATGCTTAGTGGATACACTTAGTTTTTCACAGTCCAGTTCCTTTCTAGACCACCATTCTTAGGAAATGAAACTTGCCTCAAAATTTTAGAATATTGGATATCTACATTAAAAAGTTTAGACTGTAACTTATTTTGGAAGTACATAGAATTGTCGAGTATCATCTTTTTTGTTATGTAACATTCTATATGAAATATTTAAAGAAATTAAAGGAAGGGCTTTGTGCCCTTTTAGTTACTGCCTGGGAACTGATTTCTCTCTCCGGTTTCTTCTCTTAGCACAGATTGCTGCTGTGAGCTTGACTTCATGACATTTCAGTACAGAAAAGGTTCCAAGTGATTCAAATCGTTACATGATGCTTTGGCACCTTGTGCTGGTTATATCACCTCCAGTCCAAGTGGTTTCAGTATAAAAATAGACAAGTTGGAAAAAGAACAGCTGTCATCTTTTATGCAGAGTTTTAAATTTTTTATATGTGACGCTAGTGTGTGTGGAAGGTGCTGCCGCAAGCACTGGGCTCCAAGAGCTGGTATGGTCAGTGCAGGCACGGAGCGGGGTATGGCCGTGCCCCACAGCGCCAGCCATCCCAGCCAAACCCTCACCTGTCTCCAGCATTTGGTCACGTTTTAGAAGCTTTTCATGGTAGGTGGTTGCTGCCATTTTATGAGAAGATGAACACATGTTTTTGGTTTTCTTTCCATTTTGGCTGTGGTAATTGCTTGTTGGTTACAAGTCATTGTTGAGACTTCAGGATTCCCAGCAGCATTCATGGGGTGAAAAACAATTTCCAATTCGATATATTAAGCTACAGAGTCTAGAGACTTTAAGAAGCAAAAGAGATTGTTTTGGATACTAGTCAGTTTGTCTGTATTAAGGCAGCTGACACCCACGCTTGACTCTCTTTGTATATTAATAACTTGACTCTGAGCATTAAAATTAGATATACATTTTTTTAATTCATGCCAGAATTTCTTTGCATACCAGATGCCAGGTACATCATCTTACTTTGGTTAAGGACTGAAAAGAACTGAAAATACAATCTTCCCTACCTCATTCTGTTATTTTTTTGTGTTTGGTTTGGTTTTTTGGGGCATGGGGTCTGTAGCTACATCAATTTATATATATATATATACACACACATACATAAATAGACAGTTTTGTAACTGGGCTCTGCCCCTTCACCCTCAGGAATAACTCCATATTCACCGAGTCCAGCTTCCAGCCCTCTTTCAGCCTCCGCACATCATCTTCAGCCCAGCCAGGTCAGAGCTGCGGCCCCCGCATCCCCTCCCTGCTCTGGCGGAGGCCTGGCCCGCGGTGGGCAGCAGCTCACCTGCAGCAAACGGTTTCTTCAAGTGTTGATTCTTGGCATGCTCTTAAGCCCTAAAAGTGCTGGTTATTTCAAATTCATTGCACTTAAGTGTGCTTTCAAAATGAATGCCTTTTGCTTAGAAAATATTGCCATTCTTTGTATGATGTGGTGAAAGGTTTAACAGTGGTAAATTGCTCTTATGCATGCATGAGACGTATATAATCAGTAATTTTTTGGTGTAAAATTGTGTTTGTTCAGAAATTATACCACCAGTATAAGTATCGTAGCTTTCTGCTAGCACATTTATATGACTGTCAAATTACTTAGAGTAGAAATCCAAAGCTATTTAGAGCAGATCTTCTGTAGGAGTTGAACTCCAGGGGTCTGCGTTTCTGTGTTAGTCTGAGTAATGAAGCACTGGGTTAAAATGTGCACCCTCGACTTTTGATTGCACCAGAAAGAAAAACGGGGGGGGGTAAACCTTGGCTAGCCGTCATCAGTTTGTTCAAATTGCAGGCTGTTTCGTACTGAGATCAACAAGAGAATATCCTGAAAATATATTTCTGAACATTTCAACACATTGCAAGAGCTGATTCTCCTTTCCTAAAGGAAAATCTTCTATAGCCTCCAAAGACATAATGCATGACCTGCTATTGATTTCCTTTTGAAATCATGTGGATTTTACATTTGGAATAAGGACTGGAACCTTAACCTACCCTCATGCATGGATTTAAGATTTGCATCTTTCTTGGATGAAAGAGAAGGCACAGACTCCCAGCATCTTGCTGTGTCCATAGCAGACCCTGACAGGGGAGATGAGACATGATCTGCTCTGTTTAAATAGCAACATGTGCTTGGATTCTGGGGATCTTCTAAGTAACTATTTATGGTGTGAATTCACCAAAGAACTCAATTTTCAAAATAATTTATATCAAATTAGACAAAATAAAGCAGATGACTTTACACTTGCTGAATATGAATATCCATGGGAGGTGTCAGTGTGGCGTAACTAGCCCATGCGCTGGTGTGTGATAACCTGCACCAGCAGGGCAGCTGTCACTGCTTTCCAAGGGCTAACTCTTCACCGTACAGCACTGTCACTCGATGCTTGCCATCTCTGTGAATGGAGAGATTAATTTGTTCAATAGGTTTTTTTCATTAAGGAAGGATTTTCCTTTTGGCTAAATATTCAGAAGCCTATATCGCTGCCTGTCCAGCCTAATCCCAGCAAGAGCTGCGTCAGCTCCGCTGTGTGCTCTGAGGTGAGGCTGGGGTGGTTTGGTTGGAGTAGTTTAGTTGAAAAGAGGGCTGAAGCAATAGAAAATGGTGAAAGGGCATTATGCTGAAATAGAAGAGGAGAGGGGATAAAATATGACAGTTATAAAATGTATTATGTAAGAAATTCTGTTAGTGTTTACAGATTTTATTTTTAAATGATATAAAAATAAAGTTTGTGGGAAAATTTTCTTGGATTTAGTTTACACAAATATCTTTGTTGTTACAGTTAATGTAGAGAGGGAACATATAGCACAGTAATAATCTATTATTATTATTATTGTTTGCTATAGTAAATGCAGAATAAGGACCTCTGTTGCCAAAGAAAAGAAAATTATATGTGTGGGATAAAAATTCTTAACATGATTATCAGGTTGTATTTTCAGCAGTAGAGGCGGCACATATTAAGTGTTCTGGTGTCTGTGGGCTGCCTTTCCTGGCTATGCTTGATTGTCTTTCAAAATATAACCACATCAATGCATTGTCCCATGTCTACCTTAGGAAGAATCCCCCAAAGTATCTTGTAAGGAAGGGAAATATAATTTAATCTTTTATCCTCACCTGTGGAGGGAGAACTGCCTTCCTCCTACATGGTACTTTCTGAGAAGGTTGGATTTGTTTCCCAGGTAGATACGGTTTCTGGCAGTGTCTGGAGGATCACCTTGACGGTGTCATGGCACCACAGCGGTCAATTTCTGTTGAAGCCTGATTACCTTGCTATCTTCCAGGGATGCAGTTTCACCCAAAAGCCAAAGTTAAGGAAAAGAAATCCAGCTCTGTCTCTATTATTTTGTAATAAACATCAAAAGTCCCACATCCCACTGCTCCCACAGGACAGCTGTAGAGTCTTGAGTTCCCATGCTCTCTTCTGGGCAAGCTTTTGGAAAGTCTTATATTTGTTCAGGGTTTTCCCCTTGGTTACTGAATGTTCATGTTTCTTCTTTGGAGAAAAACTGCGAAATATGGGCACTGTATTCTGGGAAGAGGAGGACACAGGATTATCCCAAAAGGCTTCAGCCCTACTGTGCATGTGTCTGAATAGGACACATATTCAGTGGTGTCTCGGACGACTTCCACCCTGGAAACACAAGCTATTTCATGAAATACACTTAGTGCTTGTAAGAGGAGCATGTACTCAAAGATAATTTGGTCTTTGGTCTTCAATTGTACCTCTTGCACCAGGGTACTTTGAAAAGGAAGGGTGAGGAGGGTTTATATGCCATAGCAGGAATAGCTGTAATGAATATGGCATCGAGCTGATGGATATTTGTGTTGACACTGGAATCAGTGAGACTTTCTGCAACACAGAGATCTGTCAGTGCAGCTCCTCTTCCAGTTCTGGCTGTACAAGGAACTCAGGTGCCCAAGACAAGAACTTTCCTAACAGGGTCAGTCAGCGTTCAGCGTTCTTACAGAAACTTGTTAAATGTAACTTTAAAAAAGTTCAGGACACAAGCCATACAGTTTTCCTCCCCTTCTTCTATTGCTGTCATGTAAGAACCAAATGGTCATTTCTGTTTGCTGTAAGCCACACATCTTTATTCAATTCTGGGTCTTAAAAAAAAAAAAAAACTATAAGCCACTATCATGCTTTGCATGTCGGATAATTCACTTATAAAGGAGAAGCTGTTACAGTTTCAAAGTAATGAATCAAAGATAATTTCCTTAGTGGCTGACTTTATATTTTCATGCTGCAGATTGAGTGACAGGAATTCTTTTAACATGTTTGTGTAATTGTCAAATCTGACTTTTTTTCAGATACTTGGAAGGCAACCATCTGACTGCTGTGCCAAAGGGGCTCTCCACCTTCAGACACCTGACACTGATGTAAGAAATACATGATTTCAACCTCAAGAAAGTTACATGACTCTTTCTGCACTATGTTGTAGGTGAAACATACATAATTAGTATTTGGGGGGAAAAAAGCTCCACAAAACCCCCAAACCTTCTGTAATTTGAATTTGGAAAGAATTTCACAGTGGCCGCTGCTGCCAGTAAGTGTTCATAAAGAGTGGAGAAACAGTAAGGTGACTGAGAGCTCCTGAGACCCTTCCTCTGCAGGAGCTCCCAGCCTCTGCGAGAGAAGCTCGCTCTCACACAAGCTGCTACAGATTCACTTGGCAGATTTATCTGTGCAAAGCTGCAAAGGTCATTATCAGAGGAGATGGCATTAATTTGTTCTAGGTGAGGCAGTGTTTATAATCCTAAAGCAATTAAAATTTGCATAGCTGTTTCTGCTATGAACAGTTATACAGCTAGAGACACAACTAGACTTTTTTCAGCAAGATTCTCCATGAAATACACAGGAGTTAAATTTCGTGGCTGAGCTATTTATCAGAAATTTTCAAATGCTGTTTGAATCAGCTGTAGATACTCAAGTGAAATGGGCAGAACAACCTCAGACAGAAACAACATAAAGGGGAAAACTGGAATCCTCTGTTCTGAAACAGTGTTTTATTTGGAAACATCTCTAATTTTGTTTTTCAAGGGAGAGCAACAATAAAACAAAATGTTCTGTTTGAGCCTAAAATACTTTTTAAAAATGAAAAATTATTTTTTTTCTAGTAGTTGTCAATGTGAAGAGCATATGGAAATGGTATGACTGTAATAAATTGCAAAGCAAGTTGATGTGGTAAATATTCACCCACACTTATATCATCTATTAATTTATCCTTCTTCAAAAATCCTTCTTGTATTCACTGGTTTTTTTTTTTAATGTTATATACTGGAATTATGCCTTAATATTTCTGATGTCTGATGTGCTTTGCTTTTAGAGTTCATTCAAAATTGGTTAGAAAATACTATACCAATTGATAATATATGACTTTTCAATTGATTCAAGCATTTTGCTGTGCAGATATTATGTAATTTTTTAAAAACAGTTATTTCTCAATTCATACATATAAATTATATTTTGTGTGTATGTTTTTTCAGTGATTTGAGCAACAACAGCATAAGTGTGTTGGCCAATTACACCTTTAGCAACATGACCCAGTTATCAACACTGTAAGTAGTCCAAAGTTTTGATAACAGTTTTAATTGTTTTTCAGACACCATCTTTGGTGTTGATCTTGTTACTTAAGCATGTGGCTTTCCATGCATCTTTGTGGTTGAGTTAGTAGTGAAATTATCAAAGAAAATACAATGTTGTAACTCTGTTCTCTCATTCTCCCAGCATCTTGAGTTACAACAGACTTCGGTGCATTCCGGTCCACGCGTTCGATGGGCTCAGGTCTCTTCGAGTGCTGTAAGTACCACTTCTTCGATGCAGCTGAGTTGCAGCTTATTAGAATGCTGTTGATGTCAGGGAGGTTTTTAATGAGCAGATGGCTTTTGCTTGATTCGGTAGTCATAAATATTTTCACACAATTAGATTCAATGTACTTGTACTTAGGTGCAATATGTCCAGACTAGAGCAGGTGAATGCTAAACTTTGAAAAGAAGCAATTATGTATTTGCAGGATGAATGACTTTTCTCTGATGGTTCAGGGACAAGACCTACCATGAAAATAGGCCTCCAAGAGACTGCATAGGGTCTGTTTGTCTCTTCTACTTGGAGAATGTTTGGGATCCCCACAGCAAAGGACTTTTTGTAAAACTTTATCATAGAGTATAAGTTTTCATTGGATACTTCAGCAAGAGTGTCTTTACTAAAAACTCGTGTGTTTTCAGAATATTTTCTATTAATTTATATTTCTACAGGCAAGTTTTTACGTAAAAGAACACAGTCTGAAGGGAAGTTAGAAGTCCCCACACCAAACCAACTAAGTTGAACCAGTGGCTGGTTTGCTTAGTTGTTTGTGTGGACACATGACCCCTGTGCAGCTGACAGGACAAGGCGGAGAAGCCACCTTCCTCCCCATTGCCCAGCAACACAGGCGGGTCGTCATTACTTGCACAGTAAACTGAAAGCAAATAAATTAAATGGCTTATCTGTGATGAGATTATTCAGTATGCTGAAGGGGAAAGAGCTTTGAACACTAGAAGGTCAGTTCAGAGGAGTTGAAGAGTGTGTCCTGAGTGCTTTGAAACCTCCAATTAGTATTTTCTGGGTTTTTTAAAGTTAGATGTCATTCAAATGCAGAAGTTCCTGTGTATTTAAAGAGCAACGGTTGCTGTGCACTGACTCCCATAAGTGTGGAATTCAGGTGTCGACATGGGCAGTACTGCAGCTCTGGAAGCAATAAGGGAGTGCTGTCTGGCCAAGCTCTTTCACTGTGGTTTGAGTGGTAAAATAGATATCTAGGTTTCAAGCTCCTAACTTACAAGACAGCTTTTAGATTCCCAGTTTTCATTATTAAAAGCAAGAAAGATACGTGATTTGGATTTGTTGTTTTAAGTTTGGCTTGGGACTGATTTCTAGCACACTAGGATGGTCACATTTGAGCTATTGCATGAGTCCTGAAATACAGCCACAGATGAATATATTGTTTCATGGGCAAATAAATTATTCCATATGGAGCTGTCTTCTGGCCCACTTCTGATATGCAAGATAGCTTGATTAAAGCTAGTTTGGGACTCTCTACCCTGAATTACAGTGCAGATATACCGTGCCTCACTCTTCCCAGTAGATGTAATTTGTCTTTTCACTTCTGTTCTTGCAGGCCACGTATGGGCAGAAACAAAGGGCAATATTTTAATAACAACTGTTATCTTGTGGCTTTTTTAAATGATCTACTAATGAAATTGAAAAAATATCTTCCTCCTTCAAGGGAGAAGTCTTCCCTGTCTTGCACAGAGCCGCACACAGAGTGTAATGAAGCCTAAATGGGAATCTCTGCCTCTGCTCCGTGCATTTGGAAGCCTCCAGATTGATTTGATTTATTATGGCCCAGCTACAACTTTTGCCACATGTCATCTATGTTGTTATTAAAAATCAATTCTCTAGAGACAAAATGGCTTCTCAGTGACAGTGTGCAATCTGTTATTGTCAGTTATTCATTATCCATATTCTCAGGGGAATTTAAAAAAGAAAACATCAGCAAAACAGTTTCCACATTTTTTTAAATAAAAAGAATATAGAGGTCTCGTTACCTTTGGCTGTGCCTGCCTTTGAAGGTAGCAGACCCTCTCATACAGGCTTCTGTGTCTTCCAGATTCCTTATGTTTTCTTTACTTTTTGCCTCTCTGTGGTAAATAAGATAAATACGTATTTGGAAATCAGAATAATCATAGATGTATGGTGAAGTTGATCTTCAACAGATATCTGGTTCTGTTCTCTCTCTCTTACTCGTTTCAGCACAAGCCCAGTTGAGAAAACTGCAGAGTCAATATGTTCATGTTTAAACCTGGATATATATATATATATATATATCAGCGTTTACAAAATCAGACCTTCAGTCTTCACATGGCTTATCCATAATAGCAGCCAAAGTGTGCTGGGGAGCAATTTAAACATAGGGTCTTAAAAATTTTTATTTTAAGAATCAAAAGTTGATATCAGTAGGCTTTTGCAGCAGAACTATCGCAGTAAAAAATTGTTGGGTTTGTTTCTTGGTTTTGTTTAGGGGTTTATGTCCATAGCTAGTCTTTTTAGAAGCTAAATGTGAACAGATTGTAAAAGCTGAGATTGAGACAAAGTGATTATAAAACTTAGAACTCTCTGGTTGACCTGAACTGATTGCTTTGAAGATTATTTTTATTGTGTGACAATGTTGTAACTTCTGACATTTTGTCCTGATTTAATTAAGAGGCAAAGTCTAGAAATAAAAGTATTTTCTCAGATCACTAAGCAATTTTCCATGTTATATTTATGAAAAAAATATAAAATGAGCTACAGAATATTCTACTGACATGAGATATTCTAGTTTTACTGAAAACTGATGGATATTTACTGCAGTTCAAAGCTCACGCAAACATAAGTAATAGGTGTAATGATAAAGCTACCACAAATACTCTTCAGGCACCACGTTGGAACGTATTTTTGTAATATACTTTCACTGTTGAATGCTGCACTGGGTTGACCTAACAGAAATATTATTTGGCTTTGTTTCTGGTTTTGGGTTTGGGGTTTTTTTTTTTGCATCGCAGAATGAGTACTTGTACTTATCCAGGAAATCTGTAAAAGGCGCTGTTGTTATGGGCATTAATCAGTGACACTGTGGCTTCCCACTTCCTCTGACATCTGAGTTGTGTTGGTTCCTGCAGGGTTTGGCATCCTTCAGGGTTCATTGTACGTGTTTGCCCTTGATGGGATGTGGGTCTGTAAGCTCAGCCAAGCTTTTAGCCACATTTTCTGTCTTTATAGGGCAGATCATTGTTTACTGGAAAAGCATCCCCTTTCTGTCTATAGTAACCTAATATTAGGAAACAATGGGCTAGGAGGCAGGACTTGGGAACAGTTAGGGGAAAAAAAAAAAAAGAAAAAAAAAGCAACAACAACAAAAAAAAACCCACCACCAACCTAAAAGGATATGTTCAATTCATGAGATTACATGTAGAAGAAAGTTTTTATTTCAGTAATTCAGGTGTTTTGTTACTCTGTGTTCAGAGAGGAGATCCCCACCTCCTTAAATTCATACCCCTGCTGTTTACCAATATTTAGACAAGAGGATATGTAGCAGTTGTGCTTTTGAGGGAGAACATGGACATCAATGTGTGTGCTTTAACTGTCCAGATGTTTCAGATTTTATTTGACCGTTTGCTTATAAAGATTTTTGGTATAAAAGTACATTTCTGTTGTTGATCCAAGAGGAAAAAGATTTTACTGCATTGCTGAATTCTTGTGCCACCCTTATTGTAGGGTTTAAGTTTTTTAGGATTTATCATTTAATTTTAGCTGTGTGGGTGATGGTGTTGCTGATGTGATTTTTTCATTAAAATGCAGGCCTTTGCATCCGTGAAATATAGTAGTCAAGCCATTCATTCCAAATGGTTCTATATTTTTGATCATTTTACCTCCTTACAGATAAATGACTTTGTCATGCTTCAGCTGCTCTTGGAAGAAGTTTCCAAGACATTTAGGAAAGAAAATGCACCCCTTCACAGAATAAACAAAACTGATATGACATGAAGATAAATATAAGTTCTGCTATTTGTTCTGAAAGAATCATCTTGCACATCTTCAAGCAGCTTAGAAGATCAGAATATAAGCTCATTATGAGTTTCTGCTTGTTTAAATATGCTCATTTCATTGAAGGAGGGAACATTTTGATGATAAGTTGTTGATCAGACCTGATCTTTCATCCTCATACTAACAAATGTACTTGTTATTTAATAGCTGTGGGGTACATCTCAATCAGCTGGTCATTCTGTATAGCATTAGTGAGTTACTGCGTGGGAGCTCGTATCCTTCCGGTTCCTGTTCGGATTAATTCCTTGGAGATCCATCCTTATATATGCCAAGTACTACTATTAATAGCCGAAACCTAGGTAGGCTTAAAAGAAACCTTCAGAATCAGGATGTTGGAAGGGGAAGTTTTTGGTCTACTGGCATCAAGAACCAGAGAGAGATGCCAGCAGGATAACTCTGCTGTAGTTTTTGTGGTTTCATGCTCTGTAGAAAAACTTTGCAGTACAGTAAGGTAGAAACTGCAGCTGCAGTGAGCAGCTCTGAAATATAATCGTGGTGACATTGCTTATGCTCACACGGTTCACAGCCCCGTGGTAGAGCCCAGCCTCACGGGACACAGGACAAGCTGTATCTTCCCCTGGCACGTTTGTTTTCCCTTGCTGGTGTAAGGCAGTGTGGAAAGGTAGAATTCAAAGATCATCAGGTAGGTGAAGCTTATAGGGGTGTTAGGGAGGAAAAGATGCAAAAAGGGATGCCTTTGTTTTCATCTGGGGCTATTGTGCATTTCCACCGGCCTAGATGTTTCGTTTGTTTTAAATAAAACAGTGTGCACTCTTTCAGGAATCCGTACAGTCACAGAAATAAAAAAAAAAAAAAATGTGATTGCTGTGTTCCACAAGTCACCAGGTAAATTAGAAAATAAATGAGTAATACAAAACTGGCACACAGCAGGTTTGTGTTTTCCACCCTCCTCTGCCACGTCTGGAGCACTGGCAGTAATTCCTGGACCTGGGAAGGAGGACATAAAGAATACAGCGGTTTGCTATAACCAAACCAGCTCAGGGGAGAAGTGCAGAAGAAAATATAATTTTAAAATATTGATGTTCTTTTCCTTTGCAAGTTTTCTACCAACTTTTGTTTAAGAAAGTGCTAGTGAGACCCAGTGGAATCGACTCCTGTTGGCTCCTCATGAGTTCTTTCTGTCTGTTCCTATGTGAAATGGTAAACTGCTATTCGGTGACATGCAAACTAAAAAAGTTAGAATAAATAATTTTCTTGATGTTATTTTTTGCCACATAATTACCTAGTGGTGCAGAGGATGCAGCAGCTGAATAGCTGATTTTATTTATTTATAAAATGAAATCTTACATGATTGTATATCTTCTCTGGTGCATTTTCTGGATAGTTTTTATGCAGCTGTCACCTCCAGCATCCTGTGCCCTCTCACGCACTCACTTGTTGCTGCGTATTTTCCTGTCTGATCATAGCCATGGTGCTGCAGTAAGTGCCCTTCCTTTCTGTCAGCCTCTAGTGGAGGTGCCCTGCTTTGTAACAGGACCTTCAGCTGCAACTGCGATGAAAACCACAAGTAATCACAAATAATGATTTTTACTCTTGTGTCTGCCACTTTGAATACAAGTGTTGCTCTACAAGCTGCAAGAATTTTTTTTCCATTTCTGTTTGCCTACATAACACACACAAAAATGTATTTCTTAGAAAAGAGGTAAAGTGGCTGCTTAAATTGTCCTGGAAACAGTGGAGAACTGTTTCATAAGGATCCTGAAAACCCTGCTAGAAAAATTTTAGTTTCTTAGTGCAGGGTGAATAATGCCATAAAACAACTACTTTCAAGTATTTTCCCTGGTAGCATAAATATATTTGTCAAATGGATTCTAAAAATACCACACGAAGAGAGATTTCCTACTGGAAGAATGGTAAACTAGAATGTGAAAGTGCAGCTATATTTGCCCTCATGGATTCATGTTCTCTCCTAGGATCTCTCTGCAGTCAATATTTAATTTAACTTTCACAGCTCTATTTTCCCTGTTCTGTTTCTCCTGTGTTTTCAGCTAATGGGATTCTGTAAAAGAATACAGGTCTGTATGTGAGGGTCTGCTTGTCATCAATGCACTTTTAATAACATAAATAGTATGTCACCTTTTTAATTTGAAACATTAGTCACCAACAATTCCAATTGTATCATTATTAGAAATGCCAACATCGAGAAGCAGAAGTAATAAAGTATGGAAGCTCATGAGTTGTGAAGTTCACCGAAACTCTCAAAGAAACAAATTAAATATCCTTCTTAAGCACCAGTTCCTTCAGTTGTGGGGAGCAGATAAAACACTGTGGTTTGATACCCTCCTGCTTCTCCCCTCTTCTAGGACACTCCATGGAAACGATATTTCCACTGTTCCCGAAGGTTCATTCAACGACCTGGTATCCCTGTCCCATCTGTAAGTACTTCTGTCTGGGTTCATCTGTTTGATTGACAGTTTCAAATTTATAAAACAGTACATATTATTACAAATCTGAGATTGTGTAGCTTTCCTGTTTTTCCTGCTCGCTTTCCATATTCTGCTCTGGATATTCATAGTGCGTCTGTTCAAAGGAAATAAAAAAAATACTAGAACCTCTATTAGTTACCAAAATATTTTCTATAGGAAAGCCAAATGAGCAAATGTGACAGTTTCCTCTTCTGTGGACTTTTTGTTTAAGGCTTTCTTTCAGCATTGTCTATGTGAAATGCAGAGTGTGTTACGGTCCGAGAGTGAGACAGGAAACCTCCCACAAAGAGCAAATACTAAGCAAATGTGAATTCTTTGCTTAATAAGTGTCATATGTTTTGCATACTGGAATGTTGTCAGTGTATGGACTTGTTGATGAATCACTGCTTCAGACATCTACTTAATCATATGGAAATTGGTCATTTCACAGCATTAATACTTCATTCTTTAATTTGCAAAAATTGTTAGATGTTTCAGATATTTCAGGAAATTACTATTGCATTGGTGGAGGTCCAGGATATTTTTAAGCATAGTTCAGTTGATGAAAGAAGTGTAAAGACAAAAAGCTGCAGTTGTTACAAAATAAACCTGAAGTGTAACAGTTGGTCCCAAAAGAGTGAACAGAAAATGTTTTTTCACTGAGGCAATGTGTGGTACTTGACATTCTTAGAGAATAGACGTAAAGGAAAAGTAATTTTGTGTAGATTTTTGTTAATTACTGTCCTCAAGTAATCAGAGGGTTGGGTATGTCTTGGTCATTTTGTGAAGTGACTAGTTTCACAAGTGGATCTGGATATTTTCTGCTCTGATTCTGCCTCATGCATGTGAGTTGATGTTGATTTATACACATGCTGAGAGATACAAACAGATACGGGTGCATTTAACACAGGTTTTATAGCTGCTTCTCTCTTTACAACTGTAAACATGCCCCCCAGAACACTTACCTGAATACAAGGTTCATATTTACGTATTTTCTGGACGGCAAGTATGTCCTCGGACTGTTTATTCCTGTGGAACAGCTTTCTGTCTCAGTTTCTCTCTGGACAATACAAAAGGAAGATATCTCAGATTGGTAGGGACAGAAATCATACGTGAGCAACTTAGGCAATTTCAGCTTCAGCTGAGAGATAGCCTCTGTTACACCTTTGTATTTAATTCAGAGAAAATATTCGTTTTTCACAAACTGTATTTCTTCATCATGTTGCCAGTATGGTCAAGTCATTTTGTATGTTCTTTTGGAATGAAAATCTGAGTGAGCTGAAGCCCTGTGCCTACTTCTGGAAGTGCAGTGACGCCTCCAATACTGGGAATCTGGCTTCTGAGGGTATTTTTAGAACTCAAGAGATAAACATATCATGCCCCATTTGTTTCCATTTTCCTCAGGGTTTACTTTAAATGAAGTGCAGATACAATTTTCCTGGGTAAACCGTTCACCTTAGGGAGTGATAAAAACCCCTTTGGCCCAATACAATCACTGCAGTCTATCTGTTTAGATATATGTGCTGCCAGAAATGTAAAATACACAAAGCTCATATGAACAGTAATAAATAGGATCCATAAAATAAATAAGACCTGTCTGGGGTGTAATTTGCACAGTTGAACAATTGAATTTTACAGTGCAATCGTGCTCTCCAGTTTCCTAAAGAGGATTCTGAAACTTTTAGCAACTGCAATGATTTTGCTCTTCATATGCCAGAAGAAGCTATGCTTATTCGAAGTCATGTACAATTCACAATAAATTCCGATTGAGCTCTTCCTTGATATATACATCTTCAAGGAGCAAGCATGCACTTGGAATAATTTTGAAAATTATACAAGGGGATGCTGCTCATCAAATTCATGGGAAAACAAAATTTTATGTTCAATTTACAAGCTGTGTGGCTAAGAGAAGGATAGGAATTATGGCTGGAGAAAGCTGACTACCGAGGTGTTGAGCAGGATGAGCAGCCTGGACCTTCTGCGTCCGTACAGCTGGAGGGGGAGTGAGAAGGAGGGTATCAAATTAACCTTTAGAATTGCAAAGAAATATTTGTGTAGCATAGATGAAACTATTGATTTTAGTCAGAGTCCTTTGTAGTAGGTTTGAATTGGTCTGTAATTGGAAGAACAAAGCTGAGATCTAGATACTTCAGTCACTTTTCCCATGGCTGTTTAAAGCCTACAAGAAATGTTCACCAAACTTCCTTTGCATTGCAAATGACATATTGTTGTAATGTAACTATTATGACAAACTACATAGCTGATACACCCACTAAAAAGAGAGGAAGGTTTGTATACGATATACACACACACTTTTTGTGTAGTTTTTTTATTTACTTGACTCATACAACCATCTATTTAAGCCATGACTCATTTAGTCCAGGGCAGTGATAAAAATGTTACAGCACTACTGAAGGATCATGCATGTTAATACTTTAAAAGAACCCAAAATCCATTGGGGTAGAACTGAGACCTTCTGAGTTAGGTCAGGTCCTGCATTTGCTGTCCTCACCATTCACTGATGCACACAACTCTGCAGCTGATTCCATTTCCCAAATACTGCCCACACGTAACCTCACCCCTCGGCAAAGAAACCCTTGGTAACGGATTCTGTGTGCAGCAGGTATTTCTGTCAGACATATTTTTGATAAACAGCTCAGATTCCTAATCCTGTTGAATCATCTCATCTTTACTTGAATTAATATTAGTTACCTATAAAAGTAAACTGTCCCCTCCTCTCTTTATCCACATTATCATGGCTAGAGTTATTTTAATCCATTTTATTCTGAGTTGCCTCAAAAAAAGAGAAAAGTGTCTGAACAGAAATACCTGCACAACATTTTGAAAATACTGATGGTGGTATTTCATTACAGCACAAGATATTTTTACCTTCTGGAAATTTTTTGCTGTAATGGGCAAAGAAATAGAGACAGTATGTTAGAACTCATGAATGAAAATACAAGAATACGCTATCATTTCTAGAAATGAAGAAGAAAATCCAAACCAAAACAAAACCACAAACAAAAGAACAGAGAAAGATATGTGTGATAATTTCTGCAGTTGTACAGCAATGTTATTGGCAATCATTTCTAGTGTCTACAGAGCAGCTTTATTTCGAATGTAGTTTATAAAGATTAATTATCATGGTGACAAGCTTTCCGTTTTCCTCCCACTCCCATTTTATATATGGCAGTTGCTCAACGCTAAAGTTAACTTCTTGGTCCAGCTTTCACGGCTGCATTTTGTTTGACCTTGGACAAGTGAGCCAGTTGATCACAGTTACAGGGTCAAAAAGTCAACCCAGGAGGTTTTTTTCCATTATAAGCAGTGGATTTACAGAAGGAATGGATGGATATTTTTTAATACTGTTATGCAGTACACATTTAATTTTGATGAATGAGCCCCGGACAGGGTTTGAACCTATGAACTCTCATTATGGATCTGTCTAGGGCACAGTGAGTTCATTAGTCACTCCAATAGAAATGTATCAACAAATTTACTGAGGTTTCTATCTTAATATTCTGTCTGATATGTTTTTATTTGAAAGAAGCTTGAGTTTAAAATACCATCTTAAAAATAGTTTAGAACATATACAGAAATAGTAAAGTCTAAAACCCAATTAGAATTATTGGTTTCTTTAGTATCTCTTCACCATGCTAATCTTTATTTAGTTAATTTTCCTCCCATGGCAGTTCAGATGTTGTACAGTTAAAACCTTACATTTACTTTCAGCAAAATAAATTCAGACCTCCAACATGCATTTCTTCACACTTTTAAAAATTAATTGCTTTTAAACTGACTCTTCTGAAGTCTGGACTTTGTTTGTAATTGGCTGCCTGAAAAGATACTTTAAGAAAAAAAAATAGTATAAATGAGTCAAGGCAGCACTTAAGGTAAAAAGGTTTGTTTTCTTTTGTATAAATCTCCATGAATAATGAAAAAGTTCTGTGAATTATAATTGAACTATGTGAATCCATCTACTTCAACCATATGACCTGACTCAAGTGATGGGTTAACCAGCAAATGTGTTTTCAAAGCCATAAACAAACTCAGCAGTCACCAGGTTGGAGTTTTGAAAACAGGAGTATCCTCTGTGTGTCAGTTTCATCTAGTGAGGAGACATTAACATGAATCATCAGATCCAAACTAAATTACACAATTCACTGTTAGAATATGCTCGTGAAGGCCAAAGACTTCAGTAAAATGAACCAGCATGATAAATTTGATGAAAGCAGTATGTCTGGTGACATTGCTCAAGCACGATTGTTTGAAAAAGTGATTTATTGTTTGAGAAAGTGATGTGTTGTTAGGTATTTATACAACCTCCCTAACTAATGATGGGAAGAAAGGAAAAGAGTGGGAATACTGGAGGAGATAAATCTAAGAGACTTCCTGAATACTCAGAAGATCTTTCCCACATTTTGATGTAAAGTATTCCTGTAAAAGTGTCAAACAAGATGTGCCTCAGTGAGATCAGGAATGTTATCTTTGCTTGCAAGCCAAAATAACTGCTGTTAATTGTTTTACACCACTAGGGCTCTAGGTACCAACCCTTTGCACTGTGATTGCAACCTCCGCTGGCTCTCCGAGTGGGTGAAGGCCGGGTACAAAGAGCCGGGGATAGCCCGCTGCAGCGGGCCCGATGCCATGGTGGACAGGCTGCTGCTCACAACACCGACTCACCACTTCCAGTGCAAAGGTAGGAGCAAGCTGGGAGGCTCTCAGCTCTGTCCTGTTGCTTTTCCTCAAATGCTTTATTTTTATACTCTTGGAAGCTGTTTGGTTTTAAAGTGAGTTTGGGAGGGAGTTGGGTTTGATTTCCATCACGTTGCATTCAAGTTGCGTTTTCAAATGTTCTTCCACAAAGTGCAGTTAACTGCACTACTGGAAGGAAAAACAGCAAACCTCAGAAGAGTTAGTTATTCCTCTTGTTTGCACTAGATTATATAATGGCAAGTTAGCATATTGGATGTTGTTAGAACTTATTTGAGCAAATAAATTGGTTTTGGCCTTCTACCTACCCCAGGAAACTTGGGTAAAATAAGGGTTATTTTAAAAAGATAGAGCACTCCAGTTATTATGTACATTTACTTGAAAATTGAGAAACTGAGAATTCTTCTGGAAAGCAAATATTTAGCAAAAGTACATTTTCATTTGAAGATCTGCAAACTCTCCTCATCAGCTCTGTATCAGAAACTGTAGATTATGGAAAATGTTTCATCTCTGAGTATAGTGTACATTCATTCGGGAGAGGGTTGAGGTGCAGCTGTTAACCATTGGGGGTGGTCAGAGACAGGAGTGTGCTGCGTTAGAGAGTGGTTAGGCAAAGGATAAGGAGCACACTTTCTTGTGGATAAAGTAAGTAGCATATTACTGAGTGTAGAGTAGGATAAACCTGTATGTTCTTATTGTAAAAAAGGTTTTGGAAGTTCGCTTAGGTTACCAGCAAGTACGTGAAGATGGAGCTATCTTTATAGTGGAAAAGATGGGTCAGCAGTCTCTCTTAGAAATGGAAATGAGGGCATAAACCCTGTTTTTATGTCTCTCGGTGCCATGCTCATTTACAGCACTGCTTGGCAGTATGATTTTATAGATGCTGGGATTAAACTACTGAACAAGCAGATAATGGCATTGAGGTGGGTTTAGAACACAAGTTCCCAAGCCTGAGCTGAATTTTATGTCCTTTCAAATATATTTTAATAACTGTAACCATATTATTTAATTACTTCAAAATACCAGTCTCAAAAATATCAGAACTCCGACCGTGATTGTCAAGACTACAGACTTTATAATAGTGTCTCAAATGCAAAGTACAAATATTCCGTAAATACTAAAAATACCAAATAAGGTACTTGCTCACATGGAGTAAAACAAAGATAATGATCATATTTACATATTAAATCTAGGATCTGAACATTAATCCATAAAGAGAAGCTAAAAATCTGCATTCTGAAACTGTCATATATCAATAGTTACCCTCACTTTCTGCCAGAACTAAGCAAGCAACTCTTAGGCAAGAGATAAGTAAACCTGTGATCCAGGCTATTAAAAACAGCTGTATGTTTTTTATGTAATTACTAGTTTGGTCCACTAGATAGCTGGTGGGATTTCTACTATCCCAGCTGTCTCCGTGGCACAATTTGTCTGAATAGAAAAGGATTTTAAAGTGTTGATTTGGAGGTGGTCTTTGGACAAACAGAAACTGTTCGTGGTCTGGATGAGCGGCAGTATACTCCAAGAATCTCCAGGCCCTATCAAAAGTCACCTTTTCTGATCACAATACATATATTTTGAAAACAATGCATGATTTGGTAGTCTAACTGAACCCATTTCCCATGTACATGTTTAAGATCCAATGCCTCACACGATTCTTTCTGGGCATCGGTGATGCTCTTTTACAGTAAATTGACAGGATTTTGTACAGTGTCAAGTGCAGGTTTACCCTTGAACTGGAGCCATGTGCATAGCCTGTGACAGGGTACAGCGCGGTGTGGTTTGTCCTGCAGCTGCATCGTCCTCTAATTGCTGTCAGACTGTCAGCAAAAGAGCAGGACTGTCTGTGGGGTGACACAGAACGTCCAAGGACATGTGTGTACTCCTGCCGGTGTGGATTCAGTCCTAGCTCACCTACTGCTGGCACAGAGCTCGGGGTGGGCTGAAGTGCCCGCTCCCCTACAAGCCTGGGTCATTGCTGCAGAGTTCAGCCCACGCTGAGCTTGGGACCTTGAGGTGCTTGTATAAAGGTAGTGCAGAGATATCCTCTGTGGCCTCCAGTAACTTTTACATTTAAAAAAAAAGTAGAGTTTAACTTATTCTTGTTAAAAATGATGTTTTTAGACTGTGACTGAGCAGAAGGTTATGTCTCAGCAGAGCCAAGAAAATAAAAGTATGTAATGTGCAAGTCATGCAAACTCAGCTCTGCTTTTTATTAAGTCGCCCTTCTAGTTATGCAGTAGAGGAAAGGAATGTGCTGGGCTGAGGGCATTTTCTATGTGGATTTATAAATCAAATCCACAAGGGCAAAGTAATGAACTACTTAAGTGCTAGGAACTAACACTGTTCCTGTTAGCCCCTACATTGATTAGCTTTGATCTATGCTATAGGAATACATGGAAAATGTATACATGTGTACCATGAAATAAATAAACAAAACATAAATAGAACAAATTCTGGCTTAGTTACCTCTAAATCTAGAAGAGCAGCAATGCTGCCTGTCTCATGAGCTCTCCGAGGAGCTACCTTCTTATATTCTTTGTATATTCTACCTTCAAGATAAAAGTAGCTCAGACATGTCACATTCCACCCCCTGTCACTGCCAGAAATTCAGACGTTACTTCCTCTTGCTGTCCTAGATCTGAGTTAAAAACATGTATGACATTTAGTTAGACATAAACGCAAAGATGGACGAGGATGACAACAGTATTTTTTTTCATTTTTTGATTTTGTTACTTCTTGTGTATTTTTTCCTCATTATTGCAATGTGCACTTTGCGTTCAACTATGCACTGTTGCCAGACCAGTCACCGGCCCTGCTAACACCACCATAGGTATAGGATCAGGATACAGCAGGTGCTTTTCAGCTGAGACTCCTCGGTACCCATTTCTGTTGTGTTCTTAACCCCTGTTGGTGCTGTGCAAGTATTCAAAGTTGATAATGAAGGCTTGTATCTCATACAGGATGGTCCAAAGCAGATCCTTTGCTGGAAAGGATTTTGTCATCCCTAGTTTTGGTAACCTTCTACAGCTCCACCATCTCTCAAATATAAGTTGCTTTTCTTTGCTTTCAGGATGTTTCACAATTTACTCTTTCTTATCATTTATCATGCAATAACAGAAGCTCTGTGCCCACTTCCAACTATCACAGGGCCAATTTTAAGTTATTTTAAAATGTATTTCCTTAAAAATGAAAGAAAATTGTTTTGGGGTCTTTACTGCCTGATATCATTCAAGCCCTTTTGAAGTGTTAGATTTTAATTTTTATGTGTAAAAGCCATTAACTCATTAATATTTGAAGTGTAGCCACTTCAAAATCACCATTTCTGTAAATATAACTGTCTAAATTAGCTTTCTGTAAAATCTCAACAATAAAATATTGATTGACCTGGTAGCCCAAGTGTACTTACTGTTGTTTTGGTGTGTGTTAATTTTCCTGCTCACCCACAAACATCACTACTTCTCCGGAAGAGTTCTGTTAAAAAATGTGGATTTTAAATGGTTTAAATATGGCCATGTATATTTACCTGCATACATTCACATCTTTGCATGTTTGTCTTTGCATTTTTTTGTTGCTAATCATTCTTCTGGGCAGAACAGGAAGAAAATACATTTTGAACTCTGTTAAAATTAAGGATGGTAGAGCACTTTGCACCTAAATATTCCCATAAGCCTCTAACTAAATAATTCTTATGCATGTTTTTCATTTCTGCTGTTGCATCTGCACTTTCATTCTTGTTACCAGCCGTAGAAATGTCATGTTATAGTTCCCTAGGGGTTGCTATTGCAGAATTTCCAGCACTGAGAGAAGGAAAAATTGCTGAAAGCCGTATATATAAGCCCACTCTCTGGAGATTCCCAACATGGTTTTTTTAGAGCTGATGTTTGCATGTCCAGGAGAATATAAGCATCATTGAGACTTGCCTAGCACTTGATTTAAGTACTTGAAATCTCTCTGCTCCCTGGGAATCCCATGCCATTGTGTAAAGTTGCACCCACAGCACATGTGTTTGTGCCAATGAAGGGCGAATACTGCATTAGGAAAAAATGTATGTGTAAGTACGGGAATTAATAATTTTGTAATCCAGTTCTCTATTAATACACTGTTTTGCCTTTCCAGAGCCAGCAGATATCAGTGTTGTGTCCAAGTGTAACCCCTGCCTCTCCAATCCCTGTAAGAACAATGGCACATGCAGCAATGATCCAGTGGAGTTTTATCAATGCACTTGCCCTTTTGGCTTCAAGGTATGACTACAAATGAACTACATGAAAAGCAATAAAGTGTTCCCCATCCCTTCTGTTTTCTTATTGTTGTACCATGAACAGTCAATTTTACAGGCAACTGAGCTCAAAAGTTCCCTTACTCAACTGTGCCCAACTACAAATTCTGTCCTGTGCAATAGGAAAGGCATTTCTTTCTCTCTGTGCTGTGACTATACAGATCATCCGGAGCAACTTGCTCTAGGTGACCCTACTTTGAGCAGGGTGGTTGGACTAGATGATCTCCAGAAGTTACTTCCAACCTTGGGTGTTCTCTGTGATGTAGACATCCATATGAAATGGCAAGTTGATTTTATCTTCCATTTCATATCTTTTCTTTTGCCAGCAACAAGATAACCACTTCATAGGCTGCCAGGCCAAATGGGAGGCAGTTCAGATGAGAATTAAGGGCCAGTTTAGTCCACAGTGACAGAACGTTGATACTTGCTAGCTTACAGCCATCTCACACAGACTGATAGCAGAAAGGTGATAACTGATTAGACACAACCACTAGCTCAGCTGTCTCCGTCTTCTGAGCACTAATGTCCATAGAGTGATCTGCAAACGTGCAGTCCTGTAGATGCCAAGCATTGTGAGCACACAGTGTCAGTTTCTTGATAACACGTTTGAAAATCAGGAAATCTTGTCTTTGAGGAATGCAGTTGCTTTGGTAGTGATGTATAACTCCCATTGCTAACACCGCATCATGAGGGCTTAAGGCTACCAAGGCTTTGTTTCAGAGTTGATATAAGTGGAAACGTAGCTCAGTAGTCAGTAGCTGAAGGATTAAATATAAGTAATAAATGAGGCATATGATCTGTTCACAGCCGGGGGGGATCAGATGTTACGGCCAAAGAAGTAGGTTGCATCCTGTAGACTGTGATTTTATTTGCCTCATTGGATATTTCTTAAGAGTCTTGGTCAGTTGAAGCATATGCTCATAAAACACAGAGCAAGAAGAACTATAGGGAAAAAAAAAGAAGGGCAAAACCAGTTGTAAGTGTGGGAAGTAAGCACAAGTATCCCCATTTTATAATTCAGGTAGGACTTAGGAATTAGTTTTTTCTGGTGATATCACCATTTCCCTTCTCTGTTTGCCAAGGATACATCCCAGATGGTAACAGAGTAATTGTGGTAGATCCCTGAAACATTGGAAAAGGGAAGACATACAGCTCATTTCTTCTGTTTCACCCCAGGGCCCCCCTAAGTACTCAAGAATAATAACAATTCTCCTGAATAATTGAAAAAGCCATTGGAAATTTCCTGTCATTAAAAATTCTTCTACCCATTGGCATATCAGCCAGCAACTTTTCTAGGGTCTTAAAAGATCACATTGTTGAGAATTCATCCAACTGAAACTAACTACTTGGTAACGATTGATTTGTCTTCGCAATGAGGGAAACTGTGGCTGTTTGTCTCCTTCGGTTAGAAGAACAGTCATTTTAATTTCACGTTAAACAAACTAGGTTGAATTCTTCAGAATTCAGTTTGTGAAGCGTCTGTTAGGATAACTTGAAAAGTAAAAGCTTTCAAAACTAGCAGGAAAATGCATAAATCTTTGTGTTTGTCTTGCTCTGTAAGGCATGTAATTGTGGAACAGATATCCTGGTAGTTAAAAGTAGAAATGGGTTGATTATCAGCATCTCTCTTTTTTGTCCTTAGTTTTTTCGTTTTTATGGTATTTCAGTATTAGCAAATGCACTAGTATAGATGCATTTATACTCCCAGAAGACATGTTTACAAAGGAAAGATTTATTAACACAAATAATCAAGAATAATCCTCTAGTTATATTAGCAATCACTTTCTAGTGTACATTAGACCTCAGTATGCATCATTTTACTTAGAAAGGTTTCGATAAACTCTTGAAGTGACTCAATTTAAACACCTTGTAGAGCATCCAGCTTTTCTCCTCTCTCACACACTTTCTCAGGTGACATTTAGTCTGTGGATGTAAAACCTAAAACTACTGGTGTGCCTGTAAGAACCAAGCTGTCATCCGAGCATGGCAAAGAGCAAACAGACCCAGGCATGGCACTTAGAGCAGAGTTTAAAAATACTGACTGCATCACAGTACAGGGAGAATTGGTGGAAATTTAATAAGCAAAAAAGAACTGTGTGTCTTTACCACAGGTTTTTGAATAGAAATGAAATTTGACGGGTCTAAATGCAAACCATATGAAAGGAGCACTCTATCTACCACACAGTTCTCCACCAGAGATTCATGCTAATTCAACAACAATACCTTGCTTCCTTCTCACCAGCCAGCACCAAACAGCTCTATCCATCTGGAATCTATTTCCCAGACCTTGATAAATTGCCCTAAATCTGCCCTCTCAGCATTTGTTTTTCCTTGTTTGATGTAGATTTTGAAAAAATCCTCTGTGGAAGAGTGCATCAATAAAGTGAAAAACCCACCTTTTTTTTTGAATGTAAGCTCATTCAAATGAGCTGACGGCTTTATCGCGTTCCCTGGAAAGGGACAGGCAGTTACAGACTGCTTTCTAGGGTTCCTGTGCTCGTGCTAGACTTCAGAAAAAATCAGCAGGCCAACTAGCAGAAATCCACCTAAGTGACCAGCTGCCAGACTGGTGCCTGATGGAATCAGGAACTTCTGCCGGTTAGGTGTAGTCACAAAAGCATGTAGTTTTCTTTGTCATGATCCCGTTGATGATGGCTCAGTCTCATATTTTTCATGGTCACAAAAACATTTTAGCTATTGATTGTGTGCCTTATGGGGCTTTTAGCAATGTGTAGTGCTGCCCATGGTGGGTTTGAGTAAACTTAAAAGTGAGATAACTCCTGGACCACCTGAGCTGAGAGGCCAGTGGGCCGGGCAGTTGTGTTTGATGACAGAAATATCGATTGCTCACTTAGGAATGGGAAAGGCTATGTGCTGACAGCTATCTTTGGTGCTGCTCTTTCCTTAAAATGGGTGATGAATGTGTTTGTCATAGATAAGCCGTGGTTGAAACAGCCTTTTTTCGGTTGTTCTTTGGGGACAAAGCCCCAGAGACAGTGGGAGATGGTGTGAGAGTGCCACCTACGGCGACTGGCAGGCTGCACAAGCCTGAGCTTCAGGGTGCCACCGGTGCTGGCAGGAAATGTCTCTTAATGTTATGAAACTTGTATTTTCATATTAAACACAGACATAGGTGTAATTACCGAACGATTTCTTTCTTCTCTTCTCCATAACATTCTTTGAAAGATTATTTCAATAATACGTGTGGTTTAGGTTGTGAAGTATGATTACAAGTAGAGAAATAAAGCTTTCTGCTGCTTTCAATGCTGCTGGCCACCTGCAGTGCAAGTGTGTGTGAGTGCAGCTGGTGGCTGGTAAACAGATAACAGTACCCCACTAGTTCATTTATCCTGCAGAGTGTGTGGCTTTTATATATTCCCATTGATACTGTAAAATCGAGTTTATGTGTGTTAGAATTCAAGAGAATAATCAAACTTGCAATCAATAAGCCATTGAGAAAGGATTTACTTGAATAGCTATAGTAAAAACTAAGGTGAGTGAAACCAACTCTCAGTGTATTTTGCTGTTGCTGTATTCTGCAAACACCCTTTTGAATTTTTTGGCTGATTTTTGCATTTTCCTTTTTTTTCTTAAAACTGAGGTATCAACAAATGAAGGAGAATAATTTTCTTTCTTACAAATACAGTTGTTCCTAGGACTGGGGAAAGAGAGTTTAAAACACATCTGTGTTCTATCTGAAATGAAAGAACATTGCCAACCTGGAATTTGAAATGCAGTACCTGCCTAGGCATCGCCAAAGCCTCTTTGCTTGCTCAGATAAATGGGAGCCTGAGCTGTTGGGATGCAGGATGTTTGTCAAGTTCCGCTGTTACCGAAAGCTGTCTGAAATGGAACGTGAAGATAGGTAAAATCAGTATAGCACGTATCCCACACTTGAGGCAACAGATGCTGATGTGTGTCTGTGGTAGAGCTGCTCTGTAAATTTTATCCAGTCCTGTTGCCCTCCCTGATGAGTTCAGCCAGTGTCCTGACTTTCCTAGCAGCACTGCAGTATCTTGAGGGTTCAAGCAATTTCACCAGTCATCCGGAATGACAGATACAATTGGAAAAATCCTGGGTAAAGCTCTTGGGCTTTGGAGAGACAGCATTCTTTGCAGCCAGACTCTTGTGGTGGGAGGCATTATAGCGAAGCCAGAATGATATTTAGTGAGGAAGCTGGCTCCAAAGTTCTGCTAGGAATTTGGCTCTTCCTACTCCCCACCCCCTGAGCCAGGTTTTCGTCTCTGAAAACAGGGTTAGAAATTGAGAATCTCGGAGCAGAGTGTCTCTGGGATATGTGGGATTCATGTCTGTCACATGTTGTACACAGCTATAACTCACGTGCCAGCACTTGAGCGGATGGATGTAGCTGAACAGAAGCTGTGACTGCTCAGCGCAGGGCTGATAAGCAGGTGATACCAGTACAGACCCCACGCCATTAGCACGGACTCGGAGCTGCACTGACTGTGTCTTTCGCTCAGGGGGTGCATGTGGCCTGGCATTTGCTCAGAGCATGGGCAAAGGAAGTTTGCTGCATTTGCGCTTTGCCATGTCGATGTACTTTTGTAGCGTTACATGAATAATCTGCCAGAGTCCTAGAATTGTGGCTGGTTTAGGAGTATTCATCATAGAACTGATCTTAGAAGGTAGATCTGGTAGTGTTTGCTCAGGTACAGATATTCTGGCCAGCTCTTACAGCTCAAGGCTGGGACAGGGCAAGTTTATTCCAGCAGGCCAGTTTCTCACCTGGTTATGCTGATTTGGGTGAGGTTGTATGAGTGTACCCGAGTGTGGAGTTTGGCTGCTGATGCATGCCAGCTGTGGGAGTCTGTGCCTGGCTTGTTAGGCTAATATTGTTTGGAAACGTAACTCAGTGCTTTTGTTTCTTTGGATCTATTAACACATTCATATAAGTCCCCATATACATCGATCAGTGCACAAATAAATCCCTGAGCTGGAACTGCA